CACAGCACCAAGAATGCCCCTGCGTTTTCCATCGAGAAGCGTAACAGATTTTGTGAGGAATGATATAAAACAGAGGGCTATGCAGATGTCCAGGAGGAAACAACGCGCACTTCAATCGCTATCTGAGGCAAACGCCAGAGGTATCCCGGACAAAGGAGCGCATAATTTCAAACTGTCTAATAAGCACGGCATGAGTCCAGCAATAACTGCATCGATGAGAGGAAAACCAGGGTTCGGCTTCGCTCAACGGAGGACGAAAAGTAACACACCGGGCATGTCAACGCTGCCGAGAACAAGACGAGCTTCGCCTGAAGATCAGCACAGAAATGTAATGACGTTTGGTGCAATAAAAGGTATATTTCCTGTTAAAGGAAAATAATGCCGTCAATGAGGTTGAGGTAAATGCAAAGTTTACAACTACTATATTTTTTCGATGTACTTTAATTTAGAGACAACAGTCGCCTATTTCCTTTACTTTTCACAAAGAGAAAAGTGCATATTTTGAATTTTCTATAGTGAACAAGTGAAATTTCCGTATTTTCGAATCTGTGTTACTCATGCATGTTTTGTATAAGCTGGTTTAAAAAAAATATTTTTCTCTTGTCAATACGTTTCATCGCTGACACTTTTAAAAACGTACTTAAATACTCTGTTATAATCGAAAAGTTCATTTCTTTTGTCAACGATAAAATTTCTTAATCGCACTTTTTGCATTAACCGATGAATCACAGTGAGAATTGAAATGACCTTCGGTGTTAGGCGTTGTTACAAAGACTGTGGTTCGGTGTCGATTATTTCATAATTGCTGTTCTGCCCTCGACGTTTGGCAGTGGCATAACTTTCGAAAGCAGTACTTCATGAAATAACGCAAACGCTTAACCGTCTGAAAGTCTAGTGCCACAATGCACAGAATGCCAAAGCATACAATATCACCTAATATCGTATCAGATATTCAATGTATTGTAGACACAGGGTATATTTCACTAATGCGTTGAACTCGTCGAACACCATTTTACAGCATCACAGATTTCCTTTGCTGCCACAACATTCATGAATTCATTCGCAAATTCATCGTTGATTACTTGCAATACCGAAAGCAACCTTCATCATTCTACGCCTATAGCAATATGTCTTAGAATTTCAGATGAAAGGGAAAGGTCCTACTCGAAAAATTCAATTTTTGATTTCGCTAACTTCGTACTCGAACAGAATATACAACAAACAAACAACAGTACAGAAGACAGAACAGTGTTAGCTTGCAGATTCACCTTCACTTGGAGGCTTATATGCATCCATGTGCATGGAACGTTCTGTTTTGCATTGTTGACTTTGTTAATGAATTATCTTTCTATGCCATGCGATAGCTCTCACGTAGTTTTAGCAGGGTATATCGTTTATCTGCTTGTGCCGTGACCCTGTTTAAAGGTGAATCATTTGTCAGACGCATTATTAATTCACGTTTTATTGTTTATTCACTCATATTAGTTATTACTTAGTTAATCAGCCATTATCAGTTAATTAGTAGTATTGAATTTGTTGAACAGGACAACTCTACGGAAAGTTGAATTTAAGTGAACTCTAGAGACCCAAGCAAAGTCCTCCTCTCTTTTCCAATCGGCACGTTTAGTAATACAGTATGAGTCAGTATTCGCGGAGGGTAGTTGTTCGAAGTGCAGCACAGCATCACATAAGTTGCACTGCATACCATGCGTTGCCAACTGATCGTTTCGTCGAAGCGCTCACAAACCTTGTTTGTTAATCCCATATCGCTAAAGCTACGCGCTCATGAGTTTTTCATATGATAATAAACTATTTATACAATTAAAAATTGTGACCCGTAAAGAAATTAAACTTAAAATAACAATTTAAAAAATTGTTCAGTTTACGCAACATGATCAATTATCATCTCAAAAACAAAAAATACAGCTAACCGTACAAAACCTGAGACAGTGGCGTTTACTCATCAAACATGAGGCGTACACATTCAATTTCATAGTTCACCGTTGTTTTCGAATTTAAACGATCATGGCGCTTCAGTGAGTTTTTTCACCGGGTCAGTCATCCGTGAAAGCAGAAAAATCTACGAACTCAAATCCTCAGCGAGACTCGGCTAGGCATTTGGTATACTTGGTTCACATGGTTCTCAGCCTGCCTTCGCTTTAGATGATTTGCCAAGAGAATCACCCTTGCAACTTTCTCTAATGACATCTTCATCTCATTCTTAAGCCATCATTGAAATTTGGCAATTCCAGTTGCTTGAAAACGGAAAGGTTCAGAAGCAGGAGCAACTCAGATTATAATGTTATCAAGTCAGGTTCATGAAGCCCCTTTACAGCAGCAATTTTTCTGAGAAACTTGATTTCCTTATCTGGGTTAATATCTAGTACTTTTAACCGAATTGGAGGAAAGGCATGCAAACAGGCTCAAAACAAACCTGAAAACTGCTTCCTTACCCAAAAGGCTTAAACTTAGTGTAGATTGATTTATAAGCGGGCTCGAAAAAAAATTATGACTTACTGTCATATTTGAAAAGACATGCTTAGCGACCAAAATTACAACTGAAGTAATTTACAGCGAGTCTATGGCGAATATCGAGAAGACCCTGGATGGATGAGGTTGTACAGCGGATAAAGCTAGGAAGCAATCACGTCATGAGGACCGCACAAGGGCTTGGGCCGAAATAATCAGACAACGGTGACGAAGAGCAACCGGAAACTAGAATCACTATTTCGAAACGGATTGCATGAACACCGGTAGCGGTCTATCATACAACAGAACAACTGATTCGGTTACGACTTCCAGAACAGTAGACACCATGCATTAAAGCACGGGCAAAATATTCCCGTTGTCCCAATAGTTTAATAGCTGCACTGACCCCCTGGAGGGCAAACAACATTTCGTGTTTAACATTTAAGTGAACATCACTTATGCATTTTTTGCTTTGCACATATGTCTGTAGCAGCTGGATGGAAAATGAGTCAGAATTGTTGTCAGACATGTGATGATGTTCTCGAGCATCTCCAAGCACAATTCACTCTTCCAACATCAGTGCGTTGCCTTTAAAGTAAAATTTCTCTGGTTTTCATGTAAATTCAATTGTGGACGGTTGCTTCGATTTGATTCATAATGCGCTTTATAAGTCGGAACCCCATTCAGTGTGTCTTCTTTCACGGATAACGGCTAAGCGACGGGCGTTCCGAACCATACACTGGCTTTGAGAGCAACATAAGCTGCTTATTTGTTTTTGCGTGCCATGTCTCGGTGGCAACAAATCGTCGTCGTTTTCTTGCTTTACACCTTGAGCCTCGCAAGGGAAGGTAAAGTAAAATTTTTAAACGGATATATTTTGCATGATAAAGTAGAAACAAGTAAATAATATGCACAAATATAGAAAAATATATCGATTCGTTGTCTGCTTGAATATCAGTCAGTGATGTTTGGCTTCCCACCCAGGGTTCAGGGCAGCGATTGAATGAACGAAAAATTGCTTTATTTAAAGACGCCGCGCAAAGCAAATGTGTGGTTTCCTCTCTCGGTAACCTCGTACTGTTATGTAAAGAATTAGGATATGAGTTGCGTATCAGGAGGAAACAATAACCAGTCATTAATCCCTAGCGTCGTTGAAAATCATTTACAAGCCGTTTCATCAACTGTAGAGAACTTAGCTAGAAATTTCTGTGATAAAAAAGCGATGAAATTTACTTTCAATGGAAGATTCGATTATAATCAGCTTATCGTCGTGTTGGAAAAAAAACCCCTGGAAAACACTGATTATTCTGTTTAACATAATCCAACCTATTACATAAAAAAACTCTTGCGATCTGAAATAGCAGCGGTGTACATCATGCAAACGTTTTCCATTATGATTTAACGGACAATCCGACTTGTAGCTTACGCCACGGCTCCCTTCAGCTATATGGACTGTGGTCACAATAACGGTGATAACTGTGACTATCGTGATGAATAGGAAGATGAGAAAGACTAAAATGAGGATGGTGACGATGATGCCAACTAATAAAACTCCGTTGAAGGAACAGACTTGAATGATAGCATTCATTTGCCATTACGTCATTACTCAAAGAAACCGAACGAAGTTTCTGTTTTTGTTTCATTACACAGATATGGGCAATTATTTACCATAAGGTTTATAGTCGTGATTATACGCAGCGCATAATTGACAATTCTGCACATATGAAAATATAAATCCCCATCCTACAAAAGCTAATCCTATAATTTTAGGAAAATCGCTTTGGCGTCATATGCAGCAAACAGCGGAAGATTCTAACCGATTGAAACTTGCCTTCAAGGAGATGGATCTGCAACGAAAAAGTCGACGCAGCTCTTTGATGACCGAAGAGAACGTGTCGAGATGCACTGGCGGGAAAGGAAGCAACTGCGGTGGTAAGGTCAAAGATATTGACAGTGGGGTCTCAGGCCGGAACAAACAAGGTTCAAGTTGCAACAAAACTTGTCAGGTTACGAAAGGAGGTGAAGGCGCAAAACGGCAAACATGCAAAGAAGCTGCAGGATGTAAAAAAGTTAGAAAATGTGGAAGTAAGAAAGAATGCAGTGACAGTCAGGGAGCTACGAAAGAGAAAGAATGTGCAACGAAGCCAGGATGTAAAAATTCTGATTCGAATGGGGGAGTGGGAGAAATCACGAATGTTCAGGACGATGCGAAAACACAAGAAGTGATGAAGGAAAACGGAAGCGGGA